ATGTTGTCAGCAAGGAGTTGCAGGAGAACTTCATGCTGCTAAACAGCTAGGCAGTAAATGACAGGTTGAATTCCACGTAGACAAATATAAAGTGATATCGTGTGTGGTGGAGGGGATCCTACTTTTACCTGTGCGTTTTTGTGGCTGAGCAGGAAATCACTGAAGGGCGCGGTAATATTCTGGTGAGGTACTGCTATATGCTTGCACTATTTTTACACTCTTTCCTAGTCATCTGCTATCAGTCACTGCTGGAGATAAGACAGGTAGCTAGATGGACTTCTCAGTGATGGTCTAGTGCTATATTGACTGTTTGAAAACAAGAAACTGAGTTTTTATAGCTAATTGGGTCTGTGCCTAGGAAGTCAGAGTTCATGACTGATGGAAAAGGCAAATTTTGGAGGAAAAGCCAACACCTGCTGTACTGTTCATGATGATCCTACGCTGGTTTCTCTCTGTCTTTCTGCCATAGATTTCTTAAATGTTTTGGAAAAACAGCTTTAAAATCTTTGTAGCTAAACTGCCTGCTCTTTGTAATAGAGTAATAATTATGGACAGCATAATGTTGCTATATTCATCTGTAATGATAAAATGCTTGGAAGTCCTTTAGGGTGAGCCATTAGGAGACCCCAAAATACATTGTTCTCAATGCCTGTCCCTAGCATTAATCATTCTGGGTACTTCAAAAATAAACAAGTATTGCACCTATTCTATGGACAAATATAATACCATGAGATAGAAGGATAATATCTCTGTTATTAAATGTTAAAGTACCCAGGGTATAGGAGACAGATTAGACTAATCATTGACTAGGCAGTAATCAGTCTGGTCGTACTGCAAATTTTGCCATGCGCGTTCTTTCAGTGATTGTCTAATTCAAGAAGTTTGCGGAGTGCAGTGTAAAGAATGCCTTTCATTTCAGCCGCAGAGGAAATCCACCTTTTGTAGGGCAATGCAATATTTGTGAAGTTAACAAGCTAAATGATTTTTATTGATAATGACAGATAGTTCTTAGATAATGTGCTCTGAGTTGTCGGTAATACGTTCAGAATAAGTCTTTGGGAAAGTTGTACATCTGTCTTGAGATCTTTCGCTAAAATATTTAAATCAAGGTCATTGCTTATATTTGATTTTAAATAGCTTTTAGCTTGTAGTCTGCATTTTCGTACATTTAGAGATCAAACTATTTATAACTTCAAAAGCTACAAATGGAAAAGTATAATAGGTAGCAGGTGTTAGAAAAGGCAATTATGCATTAGCTGTTTTACTCAATTTTCGAAACTGTCTGAAACTATCTATTGGAAATACTTTGTCGCTTCGTCTTACCTCTGAAGCATGATGAATTTTTAAGTCTATAGGGAATATGCATTTTTCTCTAATGAATTGCATATTTAAACCTATTTGGTTTCATTTAAAAGAGCTGAAGAAAATTGTATTGAAAAGAAAGGCTGAAGAGGAGAATTTCAAGAGAAACAGAGGTTTTTATGTACTTCCAGACAGTCTTTCTCATTTTTTCATAAACATTTTCAATTTACATAAAGTTTTGAGTGTATTTGCCTTTTTTTTTTTTTTTCTTTTTTTTAACTATTTCTCTTGACTTTGTGGCCATGGAAGGACTCTCTCTATTATATGGTAATAAACTGAACTCTTGGGCTCGAAATCAGAATCTTAGAGTATTGCCACAAAAGGAATACTATGATTATCAAATTTAACTGCCTGTGTAATACAGTTTCATGAGTCAAAGGAGCAGGGCAAAATTTTGAGAACAAAACAATTTTGAGAACAATTACTATAAATTGACTTTGAAAGCAATATTTCAATCTCTAGACAAATTTCTTTAGTCATCTCTCCCCCTCTGCTTTTGAAGAACACATGTAATGTTGGAATTAAAGGGGGTGGAAGTTTGTTGATTAGTATACATTAATACTAGCGTTGGAGGAAGATAAGTGTTTCTTTCAGGTCCCTCTTTCTTGCTCATATGACATAATAAAGGAAATTTAAAACTCTATTATGTTGTGCTAGGATAACAAATAATCCAACCTATAAAATATCTTGAATAATAATCCTTTTTTATTGAACTTGTAGCAAGGATGACTTACATGGACTGAGTTACTTAAGGATGTTAAGAAGTCTCCTTCTTTTGGACAATTTAAAAATAAGCTTTTAAAATTGTTAAAAGGAGTGGTTTAGAGTTAGTTCATTCTGAGTTTGAGACAACAGGGTGTAGCCCATTTCATGGCTTATTTCTATTTATTTTGATTAATGTTTTGTATTTTTTAACAACTTCTATCTTAATGCAATTAATTTCCTTAGTTAACTATCATCTTTATTCTTTCTTCCTTTCCCATTGTCTGACCCTTACTCTCCCATCATCCTGCCCATCATCTTGAAAGATATATTCTTTTTTTTTTTTTCCAGCCTACAGACTATTCAGCCTTCCTACTACTTCTGCTGCAAAAATAGTCTTATTTTTCATCTGGCCTCACCTGCGTTTTTGTTGCTTTCTTTTTCTGTTCAGCAGCCTCCATCTACCTTTATTTACTGGCTCTGTTCAAACCTCTGTCCCACAACCATCATTTTCTCTCTCTAATTGCAAGTGCTTAGGGCGATGCCATCCTCTTCAGAGTTACCCATTCCTTAAAGTAAATCTAAACAGAGAGCATAGTTTACCAAATGATACTAGCTTTTTCTCCAGTTTTAGTCACTGAGCTAGTTCTTAGTGTGTCAGAAATTCTTCACCAATGACAGTGTATACCCTCGTGTTAGGCCTCTGGAATGCGTAGCTTGAATTAAACTTTTTTTTTTTTTTTTTAAAAACTTAGTGATTCGTGTCTGCATATGATTTTTTTGTTGTACAGACTGTAGACTTAAAAACACGCTATTTCATTGGACGTTACCATGCTGTTTGCCTTCCAGTCTTGAAGAAGGTTTTCACTTTTACAAGACCATATTCTATATTGCACAATAATAGAAACATTTAATGTATGACTAAAAGCTGCTACCGGAAAGGACATTTTTAAAACCTATATATAAAAAGTGAGAAATTGGTTGTAATTCAGTGCTAAGAAAAAACAGAAAACAAGCATTATATCTAGACTTAATTTAAGGAAATTTTGAATATTTTCTTGATTTATCTTTTTTAGATGAAAATGTACAAAAATGTATCAAAGATTTAATTTAAAAAAGAAAATATTGCAAATTCTATAAATGTATTTAAAGGACGAAGTAGAAAGAGGGTTGTTTTCTTTGAATAGGCTTCTGCATTTTTAGAGTTGAGTGAATTTCTTGAATTTTGCCATAGTAATATCTGATAAGGTAGGGGGTAGCACCACTTTTCCTTCAATTATGTCTTCTTGAGATGCCAGTTTTATGTTTTTACGTATGTTAGCTTTCCATCCCAAAGACAATGCCAACACTAAAGTAAAAGATGTGGATTTTTCAGGAGGATGGCAGTGAATACGTGATACAAATTCTGTAAAATTTAGTTTTACTGTTGTAAATCGGATTTTACTTTGATTTTGCTGATTAAGAAAAGCTCTAAAGAGAAGTCGTGTTAAACTTACCATATGCTCTACCTGTCCCAGGATTTTATAATATGCTATCATGTTATTCAAGTACAATTTTTTTTTTCCTAGAGAAGGAGAAAATCAAAGGATCTTATCATCAAGATATTCATTTTCTATTTCCAAAATTAACTCATTTCTATTTTCAGTTCAAACAACACTTTAAAACTTAAAACTTCCCTGAAAATAGTTGACACTGTCTCATCTCCACTCTTAGCAATTTGGACGGGATGATCTTTAGTTTCTGTAGCTGCCACCATAGTGTTTGTAGCAAGCTCCCATAGTAGAGTAAAGTAACTGCACTTTTATCAGTCAGCGGTGGAGGAGAAGGAAAAGTATAAGGAGAAGTCTTTTCCTTCTGCACCTTTAATTATATTGGGATTACTTTACTGTACTGCTTTATGAATATTATGTAGTAATAAGTTGTTTCAGTTCAGTTACTTTACTTGAGTAGAGCCCTGCATTCTTCCTAAGCAATAAGCTGCAATTCTGAAATGACCAGTAGAGAATATGAAAAAACCAAATTGCTATGTTTTGAAGAGGTATACTTAGGAGATCTTACGGATTATTTAGATATCAGCATTTAAGTATTCTGCATTTGTGAGATTCTGTAGCTTAATTTCATAATTATTTTTAAATGGTATTTTAATGAGATTTTATGTAGCAGTAGTTCGCAGCGATCACATTGATAATTTTAATATCATAATTATTTTTTCAGTTCCAAGTGGAACAGGAAATAAAAACTTACTCAGTGATGTATTTTAAAAATAGAATGACAGATTTGTCTAAACTCTTTGGAATGATCATGGAAACTTAATTTCCAGGGTGAATTTAATAAAAAAGTGACTTGAAGTAGAGCAGAACGAGGCAGATATGTATAGAAATCTGAGTTGTTAAAGGTTTTATATGTGTTACAAGGTGTAGAACTGGAGCTTTTTATGTTTGCTTTTTTTTTTTTTTTTTTTTACTTTAGTAAGAACTTCTCAGTCAGTCAAATACTGACCAATTTGTGTATTTATAAAATGCCTATTAATTTAGCATAGCAGAATTTGTGATCAAAAAGCTATTCGTGTAAAATGGAATTAGCACACTTAATAATGAAGATGAAGCATACATTCACACCACAACGTTGAGCTAGATAATACAGTATTTCATGATGAATACAAGCTAATGGACAAAATCAGAAATGGAAGAAACACATCTGTAAAGAAAGAATTGAAGTTTGAGAAATAGATACATACCTTGCCTTAATTTGGGATACAGATTATACCTATGAATAGGTTGGGCACAGATGAAATAGGACACATATTTGCAATATGAAATGAAATAGGTTTAGCTGACCTTTTTAGTTGGCATTGAACACCATAAAACACATTTGGGATGTTAGATATGTTGATGAAAACTGTGATTTTGTACATTCAAATGATATTTTCTTTTCAGTCTGAACCAGAGGGTTTTTCTCACTTCCACTTGTACGTCTGTGCTGCCTTCCTTGTCAGGTGGAGGAAAAAGATACTGGAAGAGAAAGACTTTCAAGTAAGTTAAGACATTTTTGTGATACAAAAATCTGGGGATATTTTTCCAGCACAGAGTGGTTTTTATTAAATTTAGGGTCATAGGTTTACATGGGGATGAATTTATGACAGAGCAGTAGCAGTTGCACCAAGACTGACTGTTTGACAGAGCTGCTCCAAAACTGTTAGACCTGAAGTGATTGACTGTAAGCAGTAAGAGATGAGTTTTCTTTGTCCACACTGGGAAAATTGCTGCTTAAACTGAGAAAAAGATTTCTGGATATACTACAGTAAGTTGATCTCTCATAGAGAGATTTTCTGAAAAGGTAACTTGAGGGTGTTACTTTAAAAGACTGCTTGCCTGGCATTTTTGAAAGAAAGAACACCATTTTGTCTGTGTGCTGTTATATTATACAAATGTGAAATTATAAATAAATAACTCTAGTGCAACATTTAAGATAAAAAAGAAAAAAAAGAGCGTATTCTTCAGTGATAAATAAAAGGCCTGTAAGAGTATTTACTTCTGGTCCCTGCCTTTCAAAACCTGGCTTGTATTTGTCCAGCAAAAAGCGTATCAGGTAGTAATTTGGAATGGGATTTGAATAGTGTAAAAATGCAAATAATTTGCCTGCTCATGTTGTTCGATTATATCCGTGAACTGGAGGTGGTGTACTTTCATAGAGGTACTTTAGATGGACTTTTACTTTGGTAAACGTGCAATACCTGAAAGGAATTAAAGGCCTGAAAAACGCTGACTATGAGCAAATCATGCTGCAAATTTTGCACCATTTCCTGCTCCTGGGAAATGTCCTGTTACTAGCTTATTTTCTCTACGGCTGACTGAACTCTGTTGCCTTGTACAAATGTTCATTTACTTCAGTCTATTTTATATTTCTTCATAAAATGATTTATTCAGAGCACTTTAACTGCTAGTGCTCAACTTCACAATAAAGTAACGCATAAGGGTATAACGCAATTAATTAAATTTGTTACCTCCTAATACCATCATATCGTCTCAATTTATGGTACTTTGTCAAAAACCAACCTTACTGTTGGTAGCCATGCCTCTCCACTGTAGTTCTTCCCATTATTTTTTTTAGTGGTGATTTCCTGTACCAAATGTCATAGCATTTTTCCCTTTCCCACCAAATGTAGGACAGTTGTGTTAAAATTAACTAATAATCCTCAGGAAAGTACTGTGAAGGTTTGTTGTATTCTGCCTAGATGTGTTTAGATTTGATCATTCATGTAGTAAGTTATTTCTGCATAGTTCAATTTCTGTATAAGCTACTAAAATAGAATGTAAAGTGTATAAATTGGGGCACTCTGGAACACATTTATTTATTAGACAACTTTAGGATGCCACATAAAAACGCACTTAGTCATTTCAAGGATCTGTAGACAAATGCTACTTTTATCACTATGTTAGTGTTATCACTGAAAGGTCTTGCCTTCTTTATTATGCAACATTAGCTTTTAAAATGCCTGAAGTGTTATCTATTCTCCAGATGATACTCGGCTCCCACAGGCCAAAATAAAATCTGATGTTCTTCCACTTTCTTAAGAATAGCTGTATAGCCTATTGCCTGGTCTACAAAGTACCTAGCTCACATAAGAGAGGTTTAAATTCTATCTGAAAACTGGGAAGTTCCGAATGTGCTGCTGGAGCGCTCAGATTGCATGCGATTCACATTATTCACAAGTCATACTGCGTCGTTTCGTACTGAAATTTTATGATATGTAAATTATATTGTGAATCATCAAAACATGTGTGCAGCCATCTCTCTTGCACGGTGCTGTGTGTTGTATTCCTTTTTCTGCCTAACACAGATGATGCAAGTCTCTACTGAGACAGTCTGAGAGCCTGGTGCTTTAGTACAAACTGGGAAGACTCATACTTTTTTTTCTTTTACACAGCTGTTTGGTCTCTTTCAGTAGAATTTAAAATCTCACAGACATTTTAAGGCAGAATTAATTCCTCAGTGGGACGTCAGGTGTGGTGATCTGCCAGATGAGGCACTGAGCAGGTTTTAAATGAAAGACCAATGTTTTAAGAACTTAGTTATGTAATATTATATTTGGTGAAGTATGTGTTACCAGTAGGAGAGACAGCAAGAAGAGGAAAAATAACTTTTGCTTTTAATGTATTATTTCCATTCTTTTAAGATTTTAGGTAGATGATCAATATCTTGCTGCAACCTAAGCTATCAGTGAAAGGATTTGCTATTATTTTTCTTCATGTGAACAGACTAATTATAGATTTATATGCCAAATGTTCAGCTGTTCATGATAACACTTCCTTAATGCAGACAGTGTATCCGTGTATGTGATTTTTTGCTGTACTGTTGTGTAGTGAGACAGAAATTTTACATCTGTAGAACTAAGTATTATTATATCAAATAAAATAAGCGATGGTGAGGGAAATAGGTAGAGGGAGAAATAAATGTACAATACTGTTTTTTTGATTTTAACATCTTAAAAGCAAGAAAAACTATAAAGGTAATGGAAGTATGTATGTTGGTAATCATAATTAGTCTGTTGAACACTACTGAATATATTAACTCTGACCCTGATATTGTAATGCTGTTATGCTCTTAATTTGATTTGCTTTTGGTTCTCCTAGTGACTTAAGTGGAGCTATTCAAAGTCTATGAAGTTAAACAAGGCCTGTTATTAGAAAATAAATATTCTATGTTAAGTATTTTGCATATAGACCTATTATCTGCTGTACTTCATACCATCAATGAACTATGACACTACAAGCAGTGAAGTATGTGTTTCGCGCAGATGGTGTAAATATATGATGGTTTTATTTTTAATTTATAGACATGCATCTGAATTTAACAACATATTTTGCCTTCTTACATTCTAAATTAAAATCTGTTTAGGAAGTACTCGTATAGGAATTTGTTAAAGATTCAAATAAATGAGCAGTGTTAGCTACTAAATTTCAAATACTCATTTGATACAAATTATACAGGAGTAGAAATTTATATGTTTCTATGGTTTTGGCTAAAAGTATCGATACAGCTAAGTTGTATATTTTAAATAAACTGTAATTTGATTTCAGCTTTTTATTAGACGAAATAGTGAGCGATAAAAGAAATGTAACACTTTATTTAGAGAAAGTTGTCCCTTTAAATGTATTAATTATCACAAAAAGTGAATTAAGGTGTGAAATGTTTTCACCTTCCATCTGATGATTGTATGCCATATAATTTGTTGCATTTAGTAGCTTGACGGAAAAAAGGTCTGTGTATTTCAGTAGCGACAAAAAGGTTAGCGAAGTCGGTACGAGGAAGAGGTTAGCGTCTTGAGTAAGACTGATGAAAGATTTCTTCCCAATAGTACTATGCTGTCTTCACCTCCCATGAGAATTTTATGTCTTGGCAGATGGAGAATGGATGACTGAAAAGCATGCTGCAGTAATTAGTTATTCCAGCATGGTATTCAGTTCTTCTTGAATACCACTTTTAATGAGAACTAGGAAAAAAGTCAGTTCAGTTGTCTGTTTTTGTAAGCTTGAATTTGCCCTGTCAATGTCAGTGCTGATGTTTCACTAGAAAATGTATGTCACATCCTCTAGCTTCGTTTGGCTATTTCCAGTGACTTTTTCATGGCAGCTCATCTGATTTGACCAGTAATCCCGCAATTGTTAGGAAAAGGGAGGAGAGAAAAGTTACCATTATGTCTGTTCAACCTTAACTTCTTCCTTCTATGCAGTCATTGCCACACAGGCATGCCAACAGCTCTAATTACCTTTGGCTAGCTAGGTGCTCAAGGCAAACCTATAAAATATTGTGTGAATAGGTTTCTGTACAAATTCCTTCATTTACGTGGCTATATCCCTGTAATTTCCAATTCTGACTTCTTATAGTGTGTATGTAATTTTCGTTCCTCCTGGAAAGAATTTCCTGCAACTTTATGGTGGTTTAATCTCTTGAGTTCTCAAACCTAGGCACTCTACTTTGTAAAATGGCTATTGTGAGTATTATTATTTGTGATAGACCCAATACTTCCATCTCATACAAAACAGTCTAACTGAACTTCAGCATCAAGCCTGTCTACCAATCCAATACTTTTGGTATTTTGTGTTTAAAAGAAAAACAAAAACAAGAACCTAATATCTTTAAGATTCTGTAATTGTAAGGAGAGAGTTTCAGAAATGATAGCCGTATGTGTCTTCCAGAACAGTTCCAAAAGCTGATTTGCTTACAGCTGCCCTTGGAGAAGATAAAAAGTGCAAAACTGCTGTTTTGTTTTTCACTATGTAAGGTGATTGGGATGAGGAATGATAAAGAAGACTTTTCAGATTTAGATTTATAAGAGGAAATAAATGAGAAGGCAGGAAGTCATGTCTTCATCTCCCTCAGGACAAGGCAACGTTTTGCAGACTCCTCCTTGCTGTTGATACTAATGGAAAAGTAGAAATACTACTCTTCTAATGAATTCCATATTAGGTGAGCTGTATTCAGGTCATATGTATTTTTCTAGCAAAGTGAACTAATTTGTATGCAGACACAGGATACTTAATCTTGTGCCCTAGGTTCATTCATTCAGTCTCTTATTTATCCTGGGGAAAACCAGCCAAGAATACAATACATTATATTTTTGTAGTTTAAAAAAATGTCTTTCTGCATTTTCTTAATAAATTAATATATTATGATAGAAGTCCAAGGCGCAGATACACTGGAAGAAAAATATCCTTTTGCTTTAAATTAGTACCATCATCTCAAGTCCATGAGTAGGTGAAGGCTGACAAAAGTTTTAATTAAAAAGAAATTAAGAGATTAGGAGAGTCTGCCTGTTTGTATCCAGAATTACTGTGTAAATTCTCATGGGCATTCTCATTTTGTGAGGCATAACAGTACCTCCTGTATGTAGGCCTTTTTTATTTGAGATGAAGAAATTTTTAATTCTCCTTGGTACTGGGCTTTGATTAGCATCTTATGCCAGGCTAAACTGTGTACTAATCATGGGAGGTAACATATAAAAAGCAAAATTTTGTTTTGTTTTATTTTG